GTTATCATGGAATTAATACATAAAAATCTGAAATCATGTTATTATGAAATTGAGACATCACAGCCATAAAGACTAAATTAATTTGATGTCACACAAAGCAATGCAGGTATGAATTTATAGTAAGCTGTGGGATTAATAACCTGAAAGATTAATCACCAAACAAGCAATGCAAGAACCTGACAACTCAAACAGTTGCATAACTGCTGCATGTCAAGGGTCAGTACTGACACTTCAGTGTCAATGTCCATCTGATAAAATGAGTATCATTAGCTCAAGAAAGCACCAATTTAATCAGATTCACGGTTTCAGTATAATGAAAATGAAAGTATACTCTTCGATGTTCACATTCGTTTCTATGCATAAGCCATAAACCTTACAGTATTATTGCAAAAAATATTTCAGTAATCTTATAATTAAATACAATTAAACAACTTTATAAACCCCTAACAGCAATCAAGTCCAGACTACGTGTTTATGGGTGTGTGCCACATATACTCCATTTTACCAAAGCCCACATGCAGATTCACCCTGACAATGCAGAAAACATACTGAATAGGCCTCAACAATACAATGCAGACTGTCAGCCAGGTGTAAATAAAAATTTCCTACTTTTTTGTCAAAGAAAACTTCTGATCTGGTGACTCGAGTTCTGCTGGAACGTGTCAAAGCAAAGAGAACTGAAGAGAAGTTTGGATCTCTGACTCCATCCCTGTTGACAAAAAAAAGAAAAAAAAAAAAAAAGAAAAAGAGAAACAGAACTAAGTTGTTTCACAATAAATCATAAAATCTGTATCCTCTATTAATTTCCATTTTTTTTTATCACACAAACTTTTGTCGTTTTATTGAAAATGTAAATTTACATAATTAAATATTTGAGTTTATAGTTATATTATGAAGAGTTTAGATGCAAAAACCAAAAAAGTTGACATTTTCTTTTAAAATTAGCATTTACTTCTCTTGATCAGTAATTTTACCTTTAAAGTGATGAATATGTTATTTTAATTAACTTTAAAGTGAAAAAACTAAAGACGGATGTAGAAAGCTGAGAATAGTGCTCATTTTAGGAGAAAATTAGCATTTAGTTTTTTGCATCTGAACTCGTCATAATCTGTTTAAACTATTATTTTCTTGTAAATACCATAGTGTTCTATTTAACATGCATTCACATCACGTTATTATTATTATTATTATTATTATTATTATTAATAATAATAATAACAGCTGTTTACCTGTCTCGGAATTGCTCATTGTAGATCTCCTTGAGAGTGTTTCTATCTGTAGTGGATCTCGTCTCTCTGTCATCCAGAAATTCTATAAAGTCAAAGCCAACGGCGCGAATATCATCTCTAGAGAGTTTTTTCCTGTATTTTCTGCTCATGGTTCTTTGAAAGCGTTGTTTTGTGGTGATGTAGCCTACAGATATGTGGACAGCTATGAGCAACACTATTTGAAAGAAGCGCAGATGTTTCGTCGGAAGTGAAAGGAAGGGAGGAAACGAAACCTAAGGTCGAACGCTGTAAAATCCCTCTACATTGAAAACGCAACAAGGTAAACACTTCGTTTACATCTGTTGGTAAAAGAGAATCATGTCGATCATGTACAAAGCACTAGTGGTCAAAAATAAAAAAGTTTACATGCAAAAACCCCGCATCATTATGATTTATAATGTTCTAATAATAAGTGCTCGGAGCGGCAAGTGCGCTCTCTGTAGGTTAGAAGCAGGCTCGGGAACCTCATGTGACTCTTTGACCAAAAATAGGTATGTGGCTCTCCAGCTGTCTCTCTTCAATAATATTTTAAAGTTTAAAAAAATTATAACTGTCATCAGAAAGTCAGTTTCCTATTGGAAATACAATAACAATTCCCTTTTTATTTTATTTTCTACTGCAAAACGAATAAGAACTCAGTTTACAATAAAATACATTTTAACCAATGAAAATTAAAGAGCTTAGAATCACGTTCAATCAAAGTGATTCTGCTCTTAATTGCTTAAATCGTGACATCAAAGGGCAAGCAACTTACATTTCTATGGTAACCTCGCATGTGAAAAATCAAACAACATTTATTAGTGGCGATGGCAAAAAGAAAAAAAAAATCTACAAATTTTCTTTGTTCATACATTGTGATGAGTTATTTATTTATTTATTTTTATTTATTTATTTATTTTAGCTGTACAAGAACATAAATAAAGTTTTTTTATTTATTATTAAATAAAGGTTTTGTTATATACACACCCCCAATGGCTCTTTAAAAATGTACAGTTGTTAAAAAATCTGAAATGGCTCTGGAAAAAAGCTATAGTATCTGGATGCAACCTTTATGATGCAAGCTGAGATGGTTCCTGACCAAGTGTTGGCAAAGTTCACCCCAAAAATGTAAAAATGGTGTAGGTGGGAGTTTAGGAATGTGTGTTTATTTTTCTTTCTTTAAATTAGTTTTAAAGAGAGTTTTAGATGAAACCATGATTTGTAGGCTACTGAGGAGTGTCCCAGTTTCTCGAGTGATTTATAAGAGACTGAGCAACAAAGTTGAGAACCTGCGGGGTGGGGATTTGTGGTGTTAGCAATTGTACAATGGACACATACATATATGTACATACATATATATGTTTGTGTTTTATGCACATTTCCCTCAGATATATATGGTCTGACTATTTGGCAGCATCATGTACTGTAAATCCACATGAAGAACACACACACACACACACACACACACACACACACACACACACACACACACACACACACACACACACACACACAAATAACTCGAATTCACATAATATAAAATAACCGACCAAATGTATGATTTTAATTCATGCTCTCAAACTAATGCCAGGAATCCTGCAGTCTTCAGAACTAAACAGGATATTTGAGGAAACCCATTTTAATATTTTAATCACTTTTAGATTTAAATAGTTTGAAACCATTTATTAGTTATTTATCAATTTTAACCAAATCTGAGAGTTTACACAATATTTATTACCCTTTGTTAATGTTAATTTCAGCAATTAACAAGTCGTTTCGACACAGTGGGTAGCGCTGTCTGTCACCAAACAGCAAGAAGGTCTGCAGAGTTTGCATGTTCTCCCCTTGTTTGCGTGGGTTTCCTCTGGGTGCTCTGGTTTCCCCCACAACTCCAAATGCATGCTCTATAGGAGAATTGAAAACATGAAATTGGCCGTAGTGAATGTGTGTGAATGAAAGTGTATGGGTATTTCCCAGTGCTGGGTTGCTGCTGGAAGGGCATCCGCTGCATAATGACATATGCTGGATAAGTTGTCGGTTGATTCCGCTGTGGCAATCCCTGATTAATAAAGGGGCTAAGCCGAAAAAAAATGAATGAATTAATAAATAAAGTAAAAGGTTGTCTCTGTTTTTTAATTTTTTTTTTAAAGAGCTTGAACTAACAAATAGATTAATACTGTAACAAGTTTTACACCCTTTGTTTGTCTGTTTTCCTCATAAACCAGCTTTTTGATTTATTGTATAGAAATTGAATTAAAAACATTGAATTAAAAAACGTTTAATTTCATAAGGTTCCTTTTATAGCATTGATGTTGCAATGTAATTGAAATACAATTAGTTAAATAGACTTAAGCATTCATTTAGTTGTTCAAGCAAAAAACGAGACGTCCGTTTAAACGCAAGTGCCATCAGTAGCAGGCTAGCGCAGAGACATTGAAAATACTGTGGTAAAAAACACTTCCATGTTTTAAAGTGAAACAGTTTAATTTAATGCAGTACTTTATGTCCAGAAGCACTTTATATTGTAATCAATCAGACAGTGAAGATCACAGATCTTCAAAGAAAGCTCTTAAACTCAGCTATTTTGTAAAGGCACGGCAGTTCACCGGAAGCGATCAGGCTGGCTAAGTGAAAATTAAATGTCGGTGTGCATATATCCCATTTTGATGCAGCACCTGATTTCCGATAGTATAATCCAATGGAGCTTCCCGGGGAGGTGGGTTGTCTGCATTTGTCGATCCCGGTGTTCTGTGTTTCTGTGAAAGTACTAGACACTTCGAAAGCACACACGGACACCTCGTCCCACGAAGTTCAGAGGGTAAACCGGGCAGCTCAACGGAGCAGTGTTTTGAACGCAAAAACCCGCAAAGAACTAGACACGCCGCAATGAAGCATATGACTCCCCACTCGACGGCCAAGACACTGAGCTTGAGAGAGGAAAGTTATAAGAGCCCGAATCGAATGTTTAAAATCAGAAACGAATCTTTGGAACATGACAACTGTGACTTGACTCTTTTTACATTTCCGAATTTCTCAGTAGCGAAAGTCATCATAAACTTAGAGCGCAGTGAATGGGTGAGTACAACAAATAGGCTATTTAAGTTTTACAATCCCATTTGCTGAAATAATAAAAGAAAAAGTCCACAATGGTGTTATCTATTCTAGACTTTCAGAAAAGATTAAAAAAATTAATAATGGGAGACTGATAACGGCAGCCAGAGGAGAGAATAGCGTCAAATTTACTGTCCTGCCCCCATAGACGCTGCATTACAAACACCTCACACAAGCGGAAATTGATGCAAAATTATGTAATACATACACAGTCAGAAATATTAGCCCCCTTTTAATTTTATTTAATATATATATATATATATATATATATATATATATATATATATATATATATATATATATATATATATAAGAAATTATGTTTAACAGAGCAAGGAAATTTTCACAATGTGTCTGATGTTTTTTCTTCTGGCGAAAGTCTTATTTGTTTTATTTCAGGTAGAATCAAGGTTAATATTATTAGCCTCTTAAGCCTGATTTTTTTTTCTGATAGTCTACAGAACAAACCATCATTATACAATAACTTGTCTAATTAGCCTAACTTGCGTAGTTGACCTAATAAACCTAGTTAAGCCTTTAAATGTCAATTTAGGCTGTATAGAACTGTTTAAAAAATGTTCTAGTAAAATATTATTTACTTTTATCATGGCTAATATAAAATAAATCAGTTATTAGAAATGAGTTATTAAAACTATTATGATTAGACGTGCAAAAAAAAAATAATTCTGTTAAACAGAAATTGGTGAAAAAAATAAACAGGTGGCTAATAATTCCTACTTTAACTGTAAATATACATACTTTAAAAATCTAAATATTAAAAACTTTAAAGGATTTAAGAAGCTGATGATCGTTTCTTGTGAAAAGAGTCTGCATGGGTTCTGAGCCTACAGTAAATGTGCTTTAAATTCTATTTGAAACCATTTTCTACTTTCGACTGTAAATTTAGGTGGGTAAGTTAAGGGTCAGTGCTAGTTAATAAACTGCATAAACCACTGATAAAATTTTGGCAGAGGTCTGTTGTCCTTTCTGAATTCAGCCACTGAGTGGCGCTATAATACTGATTGATATTCTTTAAGTCTTCCACATACAGTACGCCTGATATTCTAGATTTGTTTCAATTTGTCTATGGTTTTAAAGTGCTATTTATTCTTGTAATTTGTGAAAGAATAGACCTTATTTAGATTTAACTTCATTATGAATTTAATGCAGATAAAAATAAGACGAAGAGGAATAGACAAAATAATGTTTATGGGTGTTTATACAGTCTCATAATCAGAACCAGCATCAGTCTTTAAATTGGCATTCACTGTATCAAGGTCCTTTCATTCACATTATTTTCATTTCTCATCTAGCAGAGTTTCTGCTGGTTTCACAAAGTCAAATTTAAGACTTTTAAACACCATGAAGAATTAAATTTCAGAGTTTTATTTCTTTAATAGCCCATAAGGGAAAAAAAATGTACTTGCCATATCTAATATGATTTGCCTATAATACTAATTAGTTATTTCTAAGCCACATATTTTAAATAACGTGTGGAAACAAGCATACCCTAGTTATATATCTATTTTTAATTAACAACATAAAAAACTCTTTATAAACTAAATGTATGCACAACAGACTGTTACAAATGTTTTATTGAGGTGTATTTGTTGGTGATTGGATGTGTGTTGGATTGATTGGATAGCTTTACATGAACAACGAAAAATTTAGACCCATTTAAAATGATTTTAGACCTGCGAGACAATTTTTTTTGTCAATTTGAGACTTTTTTAGGCCTAAAATTTTAAAAGACCCTGCGGATACCCTGTCTATAGGGAATTTTGTTCCTTCAAAATATGCAATATTTTATTTCAACTGTTAAGGTTTTATTTAACTTTAACCCCTTGGGTATAGGTAATGTATTGCTATCAAACACTATCTACATAATCAAATTAAATCGCACTGATTGATTTTGCACATTAAGATTGTACAGATGTTACTACTTCAATGTGTTCCTTGTGCCGCCATTCATACCGCGGCGACGGCGGTACTTGATGCGCCAGCAGCATTTGACCGCTGGGTGGCACTTTAACCACAGATATTCAG